CAGGAGAATGGTTTTGGAAAAAATGACTTGCTTTGATTTTTAAACAAAGGGGATATTCTTTCCCAGAAGCCCCAAGGAATTATTTGCCACAATCAGCAAGGCGGACGAGGGTGGGAACAGGGGGAGGCCCTCCCTACTTCAGGAAGGCTCCACCCATATTGTTCCCCTGGCAACAGCCCCACAGATCAGGTGAGCCCCACTCAGCTCTCAGGATGCTGCACCTGCTCTCGCCTTATCGAGCTCATTCAAATCCAGCTTGTCCTCTCGATGGTGGGACTTGCAGGGTGGATAGCTGTTCTCTGAGGGTCCTGCCAGGCAAGGAGCAGGGATGCATGGGCCACAGGACAGGCTGAGCTGTGGTCCTGACACTCAGCCTTGGAGCCTCCTATGGGCCCAGCACCATTTTGCTGCTGAAATGCCGTGGGAAGCTCAAGAGAGTCTCTCAAAAGCCGTTATGGGTCGTTTGTTAGTTTTCCAATTAATTAATAAAGTCCATTTTTTTCCTAACTAAAAATAATTCATGAAAGTGGAGATGACCTGTGTCCTGTGACTGGAGCCTTTAAGGATGTGAGCCAGTGGAATGTGCTCTGTTCCGACCCGGGGCTGCCTGCCTGCCTGTCACAGGGGCTGGGCAGTGGCTCCACGCTGGCCACTCAGGCCTTCATTCGCCTCAGGACCGTTGGGCCCCAGGCTGGGCGAAGTCACAGAGGCCTTGCCTGGCCCCAGGGTATCTCAGCTTGAATCCTCTCCACGGATTAACCCTCTGAAATGTTTGTGTTTATCTGTTTACGTGGCTCTCGCCTCCCCGTAGAATTCAAGCTCTGTGCCAGGTGGGACCTTATGGGTCCTGGTCCCTGCTGAATACCAGATGCCAGGACAGGTGAGCACTGATGACTGTGAGGGGTGGGGTACGCGTGAGGGGTGAACCTGAGCGCCAGGATCTATAAGGGGATGGCTTTTCAGATGGGGCCAGGGAGGCCCCGCCTCGGCCTGGGGCCTAGCAGCTCTGACCCAAGCACTGCAGCCGCAGAGGTGGGACGGGGCTCGGGCAGCTTCTCGTGGAGCGAACTGAGACCTGACCAAGGATCCTGGCTGCTGGCCGCACGGGAAGGATGCTGAGCTCCTGAAAGTCAGGAGGAGGGCAGGGGCCGGGTTTGGAGACTGGCCCAAGCTGAGCGTAGACACAAAGGGGTCCTTGTCCACCTCAGGCGAGGCCCAGGCCTCTGCTGGCTCCGCACCCAGGGACTGGCTGTTGGGCAACGTGTTTGCCTCCGGGCGAGCAAAGGCGGCAGTGCAGAGAAAAGGCGAATACTCGTCAGAGGCTCAGAGGCCCAGGCTCCCAGCTGCTCGGTCGCTGGCCCTCAAAGCCCTTTACTTCTCCAGGCTTCGTGTAAGGGGCGTGTGCCTAGAAATCGCCCGCCCCAGGGGAGAACTATTCATTCTGCAGCCCCCAGCTCACAGGTCATCTCCCAAGGTCACTGAGTGGCCCAAGCTCCCTCCTCCCACCCTGCCCCTGGACAGCTGATGGGCTCGTGGCATGGTCAGTCCACCGCTCGCCTGAGGTCCGAGCACCCAGCAGGGTAAACAAGGGACCGGACTCGATGTCCAGCTTTGCCCGCCGCCCTACGGCCCTGCCCGCACCTCCCCTTCTCCGCGTGCGCTGCTGCCTGGAGGCTAGGCCTGGTGGCCACGCTCATCAGAGCAGGAGCGGCTCGGCCTTCTGCGTTTAGAAGCCCATACACGGTTTCTGCAGCTGCCTCTGTCCACGCATCTTGGCTGTGAGGGTTCCTGGGCCTCGAAACAGCTGTTCACAGATGGTTTCTCTGGGAGACGTGTACACACACAGACACACACACGAAGACACACCCACAGACGCAGACACGCAGACACGCAGACACACACACTTCTATTCTTTGCAAAAGGAAAGAAAGCAGACGGCCCGTGGGGAGGCTCTGGGCACAGGACGCACGGCTGAGTCTCAGCCTCTGCCACTAGGCCAAGGCCTGGGCTGGCAGAGAACAGGTAAATCAAGCAGATCAGACATGCTGGGCCATAAACACAGCAAACGGGAGACATATCAGAACGTTTAAGTCCTCTGCACTACGTGCAGTGCCCTAGAGCCTGCTGGAAGAGCAGGAGCGACTGCCTTCTCTCGAAGACGCCCCAGCCGGCCTGCCTGAGCCTGATGTCCGAGCCTGGACTCAAGCCCTGGTCTGCGGCCCACTCCTTGTTTACATTTAAACCTTCTGATCTTCCGTGTCTCCTCCTTGAGGGAGTGTTGGTAATAAAACCTACCCCCGATCGGAAAGGTCAAGTGACTTGATGTGTGAAAGAACCGTTACCCCCAGACCCGTTCCTTCCGGAACAGAGGCTGCCAGGTCCTAACAGCATGAAGACGAGGAAATAGCTTTCGGGGACGGGGTGAGGGGGGGCAGTGTCACAGCCCAGCAGAGAGGCCTCAGAGACAGAAAGAAAAGGAAGGAAAGGTGAGTGGGTGTTGGGGAAGCCGCACCCCTCCGCGCCCACAGCCGCCAGCGCGAGTCAGCACTCGGGGAAGGGACAGACTGGAGACTACTGCAACTTCAGCCACACACATCGCCTGCACCGCTACCTACATAGTTTTCAATATAAAAATTTAAATATGACACCAAAATCACAAGCTGCAAAAACAAAATAGATGAACTAGATGTCCTCAAAGTTAAAAAGGGTACCACACATGAAAAGGTTCTGGTGTCTGAAATACATAAAGAACTGTTACAACTTCTTAACAAAAGCAACCCAACTATAGAAATGGCAAAAGACCTGAATAGACATTTCTGCAAAGACAAATGGCCAAAAAGGGCATGAAAAGATGTTCCATGTCATTAGTTAGAGAAACGCAAGTCAGTCCACAAGGAGACACCGCCTTCCGCCCACTGGGACGTCTGTAATCCAGAGGATGGGTAATTACAATGTCAGCGAGGTTGTGAGGTTGGAGTGGGATTACGGAGTCGGGGAACTGCTGCGGGAAGCAGTCTGGTCAGGTAAATCTACTTATTATACGACCCAGCATTTGCATTCCTGGGCACTTACCCAAAAGAAATGAAAACATACGTCCACTCAAAAACCAGTGCATGAATGCTCACAACAGCATTATCTGTACAGCCAAAAAGTGGGAACAGCTCACAACCAATAACTGAAGGACATATAAATCGTGACCCATCCCCATGATGGAATATTATTCCACCTTAGAAAGCAGTCAGGCACTGGCACCTACCACAGCCAAGAGAAGCTGGTTGCTGAGAGCACGCACTTCAGGATTCATATGAACATCCAAAACACGTAAACCCATGGAGACAGAAGGGGATCGTGGACGTCCCAGCCCAGAGGAAGGGCAAGGAGGACTCGGGAAGGGACAGTGACCTCTACAGAGGTCTCCAAACAATGCTCTGCTCAGTTGTTCCGTCAACATTTGGATGAGATGTCCTAGGAGGAAACTCTCATCTATACCACGGAGCCTGTGGTAAAACGTTTCCTTACACATCATTTCACTCAAAGCTGCAGAACCCACTGAGGCCGTTAAGCGAGGATTTACTGTACGCGGCTTCTCTCTGCAGTAATGAGAGTTCCTAGAGTCGGTCGTGGGGATGGACACACAGTCTGCGCACACACTAGAAACTATGGAGTTGTAGGCTTCCTGAGAGAGCCAAGCCCACCGCAGCACCCTTTCCTGTAAGACTCTCTTAAAGAGAGCCTTCCGTCCATGCACAGGCATGGCAGCTCTCCTGGGACCCCGACCTCAGGCTGGCCTGGCATCCTCAGGCCTTTGCCATCCCCTGGTCTCCTTCACATCTCTGTGGGTAGCGTTCGCACCCCCACCTGCACCAGGCAGCCTGGGCCCACAGGCAGGGAGGCCCGGGCAGGCACCTTCCCTCCGTCCCAAGGAAGGGCAGCAAGAGGCCCAGAGACAGCGGAACACGAAGACAGGCCTCGACCACAGACACAAACTGGTACCTGCACTTGTTCAACCTGTAGCGTATCTGAAATGCTTCTGGATTAGTTGTCACCTTTTTAAAATCTGAAGATTAAGCAGGGAAAAAACCATATTTGTAGCTTATTTTGAAAAAGTCAGGACAGATGGCCAAGAAGCCACAGACAGCTGCCCTTCTGGTGGGAACCACGCCCTGCAGCTGCCACAGTCCCCACCAAGCCCCTCAGCCTCCCACGACTCCCATGGCCCTGGGGGCACTTGGGGTGCGACCCTTGCTCTCTCCTGCCAGAGCAAGAACGCCTTGTTTGGGACTCACAGGAGGTGGTGGGACAACCTTGGTCCCGTGGGACACCCAAGCCCCGGGGTCACACACCTTCAAAAGAAACGTCACCAACCACAGATGCTCCTCCTGAGTTTCCTTGGGGTGGGTGGTCTGCTATTCAAATGTCCCCTCTCCACCATTTCCACACATTTTCACGTGCATTCAGTGCTTCAGTGTTTGTTTTGGCAGCAGTTTTTATGTTATCTACAGCAGGACAAGTTACAGCCCACCCCGGGTTTATAAGCGAAGCTTCCCCGGTACACGGCCATGCCCATCCACTTCCATGTCACCTGGCTTTGGGGCGAGTGGGGCAGCCAGAGTAGCTGCGACACAGATCACATGCCTGCAGTCCCGAAACACCTATCAGCTGGCCCCTTACAGGAAAACTCTGTGGACCCCTGAGGCTTGTAGAGGGAGCGTCACCTCCGTCAGGGGCGTGTCCACGTTTAGTACCTGCTTTAAAACACTCTCTCGGTGGAGCAGAAATGATCTGTAGTGGGTTTCCAACCATGTAACGGGGATGGGGAGCAGTGGGCAGCGGGGGGCTTCCCTGTGTTGCTTTGTCAGGAGCAGTCACCCAGAGTTCACCTCAGAACACTACGGGGGGATGCACTGCATCTTCCACCAAAACCTAGTGCCTGCAGGCAACCCCAGCTCTGGCGAAGACCCCTCTCCGCACCCCAACCCCCGCCAGCATCCTGCACTTACTTCATGGGCTTGAACAGAGCCTGACCGTAATTCTGGAACGTCATGATAAGCTTGAGCTGAGTGCCCCCCGACTTCATGGCTGCAGGGGAGGAAAAGAGACACAGGGTCACCTGCTGCCCCGGACCCCTCTGTGGACAGCGAGGCCAGCTCACCACTCTGATCCCACAGCCTGGGCCCCCATCCTGCCTGGAGGTTTGGGGTTTCCCACAATGATGCCGACACTCCCTCCTCCCCTTCAGGTGTCAGGCAGAATCTCTATATATTCCAACCCGCAGACAAAGGGACTGGCTTCAGGAATGCTGGGTGCATGTACCTGCCAGCAGTGCCTCCCTCCCCCCAGACACACCCGCTCACACCTAGACACCTGCACAAACAAGCTACACACACACAGAGCTACATACACAGAGCTACACACACACACTACTGTGGCCCAGTGTGAGCTTCTGGGCTCTAGAGGAAGCCTGAGCAGGTTAGTCTGAGGGCACCCTGAAGACCCCTTGACTGGCAGCACCCCTCTCATCAGAGGGGCTCCCAGGGCCTCCGTGTGGACACCATGGGGGTGGAGGCCCTGTGCTGGAGCATCAGTGCCTTGGAGGGCTTTGCTGTGGAGCAGCCTTAAGGCTGGAGTCGCTGCTCAGCTTACTTGGGCTGGGTACCCTAGGAGTTCACCTTTCCTGACCTTAGTTTCCCCTTTCGTTAAGTGGGGCTCAGGATTCCACCCAGCCTCCTCCATGGGGTTGTGGGAGGATCAGAACTAGGGACATGTATTATTTGCCTTGTCAGCACCCCAGGGTGCTATTCACATGTGACAGGGGGATGACAGTCACACCCTCCTAGGACACTAGCACCCCAAAGGGGGTGACACTGTGATGCATCTGGAGAAGCACCCGGCTCGGCACATTCAGAATGTCAGACTGTCACAGGGAACGAAGGATGACTGAGAGTTATCTCCCTGTAGGTGGCCAGTGGCTCCCCTGGCCTCCGAGTGTCAAGCTCAGACCCTTCTTCGAGGTTCCGAGCCTGGCCACTGGCCCGATTCTTCCCTATGCAGTGTCAGCTCCGGCCACGGCCTGGCTGTGTCTGAAGGGGCCCTGGTCTGGGCATCCAGAACAGAGAGCTGTTGCGGCTCCACAGATCAGTATGGGACATGGGCCTGTCAGTGGCTCTCCCAGCCTGCGCCCTCCTCAGGGAAACAAAGCCAGCGACAAACACCAATTCCCTCCAAAGCACTGGAAATAACCTTAGGCTGCCCTGCCCTGGGCACATACGACAGGCGTCGTAATCCCACGTGTGGGAACGCTACGTGGCCCTCATGGCGGTGCCAGGAAGTGTAATGACGCAGCAGCTGCCTGTGGCGCGATTATTAGCACAGATACTGCAGGGACGGACAGACCGCTTTCTTCTGAAAGGTGTGTGTAAGTGGGGGGAAAACATGGACATACAGGTGGGCAGCTGAAGCCCGATGGTTTCCTCTCAAGAGAACTGCAGGTGAATGTCATTTCCTTTCCCCTCATCTGCACTTTCTAAATTTCTACACCAACTATGACATCTTTAATAAGATGAAAATAGCAGTAGTTATTACAAAAACGAGTGGCCTGATGGAGCCCCACTTGATGTCCACATTTCCATTTAATAACTGAGGTCACTGGATTTAATTATTCCTTCCTGGGCCAATCAGAGACAGTCCACCTGCTCTTTCCAGGACCTATAACTCTGGTTTCTCTTAATAACAAAATATTATGCAAATCTGGCCACTTTAATTGATCTCCACTGTGTTCCCAGCTCCTCCCCACAGAGCAATTAGAAATAAAGGGCACTAGGCTCCACCAGTGACTAAGGGCTCCAGAAGCGCCAGCTCTCGCTACCTGTCCTGGGCACCGTCTTCCTCTCCTCTGGGGACTTGTGCCTTCCCACGCTGCCACCACTCACGCGACCACGCTGCAGGCCACGAGGAAAGACACTGCGGATTCTGCTCTGAGATCAGATGCCGTCTCTCTACAAAACCCACACCTCACTGTTCAGTGTCCTGCAAAGGCCAGGGTGGGGAGAGGCAGGCGTGCCCAGGAGCCCGTGCTTCTACCCCCGCAGGACGGGCCCGGGGAGGTGGTCAGCTCGAGGGCCACAGCAGCGGAGCCAGGACATAGAGGAGGCCTTGAGGAGAGGGTGTGAATCTGGGGTTTCTTCTTGCACGCAGACTGAGGGTGGCAACTTAAGGCAATCTTGTCCCAGGGCTGGGAGAGGTGTTGTGGGAGCAGAGGCAAGCTCACAGGAGGAGCCCAGGTGTGCGGGCAAAGGCCCTGCACCAGGAGCTGCTGGGTGGGCCCTCACCTGGTCTGGTCTTCAGGTGTCCCAGTGGACAGAGGTCCATCAAAATCCAGCCAACCTCAGCCCTGGGGAGGGACCCAACTGAGGGGTGAGCCCACCATGGGCAGGAGGCCAGGCACATACCAGTGGCCATGTCCTCAGAAGTCACTCTCACCCTGACTGCATCCCTGTGCCATCTGCCACCTTCTCTCCATCTCTGCAGCCACCACCAAGTCACCAGTGCGCAGTGCACTCCAAGCATGCAGGCTGGCTCCCTCTGCACCCACCCACAGCCACATATCCTTGTGGTGCTGCTGTATGTGCCCCGCCCTCCAGCCCACCTGCCCAGTGCACCTCCCACCCGCAGATCCCTCCCATCAGCTCAGTTGTTCCTGGCATCCCTGAAGTCACGTCCCCTTGGGGAACTGTGTGTTAGATATGTTAGTAATTAACACTGACTGGTAGTCATTGACAACATGCATCATTAATCATACATGTTAACATACATGCACACGTCACCGTAATGCTTTACATATATAACTCATAGCTCATCGGCACTGTGACGCCCATGGCCACTAACACACTCGGACCCGGTCAGTGCTGCCCAGACTCAGGCCACCATGTCACCCCTGCGACCTGTGAGCCATAACCGCTGCCAGCCTAGACCACACTTCTCTGTAAGACAGCCGCTGCCCTGGGTAGAAATGCAGCGTCCCTCCCTAGGGTCCCAAGGAGCAACTGGATCACACACCTGTCAGATTCCGGGGCCACAGCTGCCGTCTGCTCAAAGTGGAGAGAGCAGATGTGGGGGCGGGGGGACAGGACCCTGGGTAAGGACCAGCACAGGCTTTTGTTCTTGACCTTGGACCAGACGGTGGCAGAGGGAGGAGAGTTGAGGAGGGCTCGGCTATTTGCCACCTTCTCCACATGTGGCTTAGTCATCCTGGGGGTTGTTTTCATCTTCCCTCCCTCGGGGATGACCTAGGGCCCCTCTAGCACTGGGCCTGGGGTGTCTGGCTCATTGGGCATTTTCAGGCTTCTTTCTTCAGGCCCCAGACACTGGGACCGGCAGCTGCTGCCTGCCACCTGGGATGGGAGGGGCGCCTGTGGCCTTTCGGGTGATGGGACACCCAGGCAGCCATTCGGCCCCAAAGCACCCTGGGCAGCGGCCCAAGGGCTGCCCCACACAATCTTTGTTCCTCAAGCTAATTAGTCCCGGACTCCAGCTGGTTCTTGAGTGCCCAAGACGAGTCCTATGGGACTGTTCTTTCTTGTTCAGGAACCCACTACAGGTTTGTCCAGATCTGTCTGCATTTTAGGCAAGAGGCTGCTCGAATCCTCTCAGGCCAGTGTGGTTTCTCCTTTTTAAGTCAGTCCAAGTAAAGAGCAGGTAATTGCATCATTTATTCTTTGCATCCATGACTGTGCACGGCAGCCACGTGGCCCAGCTGCCAGGAGCCTGGCTACAGACACAGCTCTGCTGGCCAAGTGCTTTGTGAAGTGGACTGGTGGCTCTGAGCTGGAGGACTTCATGGAATCACCCTGAGAGGAAGTTTCTAGAACCTTGCAGGAGTTGCGTTCCCAGCTCTGGTGGACAACATGAGCAGCTCAAAGACTGAAGTGATCACCGGGTCGGACAGCTGAGGACAGAATCCTGAGCCGAGCAGGGCCTGCTGACCACAGGTGAGCCTCCCCTCAGAGGCCTCAGGTTGTCTATTTGTAGGGGCGGCTGGAGGGCAGCTGGTTTTCTGGCTCTTTACAGTTGGAGTCATTTTTACACCCACACTGCAGGTCACTGGGGCATCCATGTCTTGTCTCTTCCATTTCATGCCCAGAAGGGTGGCGATACCAAACCTCGAGTCCTGAGACAGGCCCTGGGCTCTCATAAAGGGGCTGCCATCCAGGGTCCCCCATGGGGCCTCTGAAGGCTGCAGCCCACTCTGGGTCACAGCAATGCCAGCCAGGGTCAGAGCCACCAACAGCAGGCAGCTCTCATCTAGGGACCCGTCGCTGCACCTGCCCAGCAGCAACTGCTAAGCTGAGGGCCCAGCCAGGGGTTGTCTCAAGCAGCTGGGTTTCCAACCAAATGTCCAGATGGATGTGGGGGAAGACACCTCTTGGGAAGTGTGCGTTCACTGTACACACCTGCAGCCTGGCCTTAGGTGGGCTCTTCTCCTGCTCTCCGAAGACAGGCGACCTGGATCTGGACACCTGGTCTACTGGACACCTGAGTGCTGCTCCACTCTGCTCACATGTGAGGATTTCCTGCCTCCTCAGAGGAGCCTTTTCACAAATGTGAACTCACCTGGGAGTGTCTCCAGACCCCAGCCAGCGGGAGAGTGAAGCCAAGTTTCTGGCAGAGGCCTTTCTCCACTGGCTGCCTCAGGGGAGGTGCTCTGGCCACCCCACAGAGACCTAGCTAGCTGGACACTGCCCATCCTGTTCTCAGCTTTCTCATTTGCTCAGGAGCCTCTTGATGACCCTGTGAAGTACATTTATTGGGTTCATGTCCTTTCTCTGGGGGCAGAAGTGTTCGGGGATTATGACCAAAGTCCAGGTGGTGTCTGTGTAACCACGTTGCGTAACCAACGCCTGAGTGGGCTGGGGTGAGGCCCTGTGATCAAACACACTCTAATTTCACTGCAAGTAAAAACAATAAGGACTCATAAATAGTCCATCTATTTGGCTTTCCCCATGAGTTCGGGGTGAGTCAGGCTTCTGCTGTTGAATGAGTTGTTTGGATCTCAGATTTGCAAGCTGGAGATTACAGGGTCCAGGTTATAACCATCAGATGTTCCCCATAAGCACTAGAGGTTGGTCCATGTGCCCAAAGTCACTTTGGCTCGTGACTGGTAGAACCAGGACCGACCTCAGGCCCCTGTTCCGTCTGGGGGATGGCTCCTGGTCCCATCAGTGAAACTTGCCAGCAACTATAGTGACTGCAAATGACCAGCCTTTGTGCTGACGGGCTCAGCCCCCGAGGAACAGACGGGGTTTGGACCAGCTGAGTCAGTGTGACAGGGTTCAGACCAGGTCCACCAGTGTAGTCGGGGGATGAGTAAGATCAGTTCAGACAGCCTGAAGGACACTGATGGGCAGAGACTCACCCCTGAGGTGGGGCTGCCCCAAGGCCAGGCCCCTGCAGGAATGGGAGGAGGAGGGGGCCCAGGGTGGGCAAAGCTGCCTGTGGGCCC